TCTCAAAGACTTTAATATAAATATTTTAATTATGCGAAAATAAATTTTTACCTCTCGGCTGAAATTCTGGTACATTCATGTTAACAATCTCTTTCTTGGTCAAGGAAATTGCCATGACAACATTTCGGCGTACAAAAGAATCATCATTTTTGGCCGAGAAAGGGATTGTTAAAATTAACAATCTCTTTCTTGCCACATGATAAGTTAGGCCATTTTATTAGTTGAATCTGGCTTTTTTCAATTCAAGCTGTTTCCAGAGCTCAAAAATATTAAAAAAATCTTTTAAGATGTCGAGGATATTCAGAGGAACGTGACGAATGTTCCGAGTAACATTCCAACTACGGCTTTAAAAAAAGTTTCGAGGTCTTTGAATCCGAGGTATGTAAATTATATTTGATGAGAGACCACTTTGAAAAATAAAATATAACAATTTATTACGTGAGATATTTGAGAGATTTTTTTGCTGCAGCCCGGAAACATAAATGTTAGACCATAAAGGTATTTAAAGAACGATGTCACAGTTGTATAGAGTCGATAGATGGGAGTTCCAGTGGTTTTCGTCACCGTTAGGTCGATTTGTTCTCACAATTACGCAAAGACAACGTAACGGTTGGGAAATACGCGGAAAAAATGCGGGATCGGTTTCACCGTTCGAGCATCGGCATCGAACGCGCTCGGGAATATTCAATTTTTCGGTCTGCCGCGTCGCATGATTGCTGCGCGCATCTTCCGCGAGAGATATAAATCGTCTCGGAAGCGCCGATATAATCAAATACGAAATACTTCCGACCGATTTTTGAATTCGATATAAGAATAAAGAAAAATTGTTCTTAAGACGTAGAAAAATCGATTTCGAACTTGGACAGTCACTAGAGAGACAATTACTTGAAGAAGTGATTCCTTCTTTCCTTGAGGTGTAAAAATTAAGGACCGTGACATTTTTTCAGAAGTCTAAGAAGAATTCTTAACTTTCTGACATTTAATTCGTTTGCAATTAAGTAGTAAAACGTAAGCAATAAATTAATTTCAATCACAGTAAAAATCACAATGTCATAACGCAATTAGTAGCAAATCCAGCATGTCGATGCTTACACATTTTACTGCTCAAGTTTTTTTATGTACTATAATCTTTATTGCAAAAAAATTAAATGCCAGAAGATTTAAGAGTTATTCTTAGTCTACCAAAAGTGACCTTCCTCTCTCTCATTCGTTTCATTCGGAGTTGCTCGAATCCCTCGACAGATCCTCAAACGGCGCGTCCAGTATTATTCGCGCGATCGTGGAACGAATTATGCGAACGTTTTAGCAAAGAGTGTGCGAACACCCGCAGGCGGGTTCGGCAGCCCTGTGATCGCTTATTATCCTGCTGATACCCCGCGGAGTTAGTCACGATGATCCTCGACCGGTCCTGCATCATCTTGTCTGATTTTTCTTTCGCTTTCCATCACCACGTTCTCGCCTCTGGATGCTATTATCCCGTGTTGCCCGAAAGCAATTTTCTCCGTCGCTTTCTCCAATCGCTTTTGCGGCCTCCCTTGGCTCGCCGCACGACGTTTAAAGGGTCGTTAAAATCGGACGGAACTCGTGTGGTACTTGAGCGTAAAATGAGTATCTCAAAAATACCGTGCTCGAAGCAGATTAAATAAGTGGAAGGCGTGAGTTATTAAAAGTAATAAGTATTTTATCAAAAAGTAACAAGTTGTATCGAAATCAATATCTCTGATGAAAATATCTTTTATAAATAGAGAGTCGTCAATTAATTGCAAGTGAATAAATAATTGTCTATTAAAAGTTTATTTATACGCGGAATTTATTAATGCGGAATTTAGAACCATACGACGTCGCAAACATCTCAGAAAGTTCTTTAGTCATGAAAGTAACTCGCGTTAGCTGGTAATGAAGCAGAGTGTCCCAAGTTTTGTCGATGCAGCTGGAAAGTCGTGCGTCTCGCATAGTTAAAAGTTTGAAAGACTTATGCGCAAAGTGTGAAACGTGAAATTCTGTCTAGTAGTTCAACGCTCGCCCGCTCGTTTTACATCGAGCGTGTTTTCGTGGCTGCTCGCTCGCTTGTCGAGTCGATAATTTGGCTTTCTACCTTCTACTATTAAATTCATAACGTCAAATTATGCTTAACTCGAACAATTTTTAATTATTTCCATAGGTCGTTACTACGTCCTCAATATGTCATTAATTTAACTAAAATAATGGAGTTAATCAATTTAATTCAAGAAAATGTATTAAATTCGGCTTAAATTTAGTTTATTATTTACTACATTGACAAAATGCTAAATTTAAATATTTGTTGGAACAGTTCCAAGTAAATATTTACTAAATGTAAATATATATTTATTGGATGCAAAAATCATCAATTTAACTGTCATTTCTTTTTATCGAGCAAATATTTATTTACTGTAAGTAAATGTTTACTTAGTACTTTTTACAGAAATGTGTATTAAGACTTAGAAAATTTTTTGTGAGTGCATATGTTAATATTGTTTAATATAAATCAAGCGATAACTTTTGAAATCGATTGATTTATATTTTGGCACACATGGAAGTGAAAAAATAACGAAACGTTATTTAACTCAACAGATTGGGTTACCAAATTTCATATTAATGTATCTCACGACAGTTTCCTTTGTAATATATGTCAAAAATTGATCTCGTTTATCCCATTCTATTAATGCAATTTAAACAAACGTTAGTTTCGATAATCTGATTTCAATCTGCACGATGTTGCTTACAATGTACATTTTTTCACCGCCGGAAAGAGAAACAAAAAGGAACGAATGCGTACAGCGCGATTGATACGCACATTTTTAATCAAGCAGATGCGAGAAACAATGCGGTCTGGCTGGAAGCCAAATTTGCGTAAACAAAATTGAGCTCTGAAAATCAGGTCGCCATATATCTCATTGTTACAGCTACCTCTTTCATCCCTTCGCTCCTTCCAAAATCCAAACAGCATCACGGGAAAGGTCAGCCGGAAAACTTCCCTTGTTGTTCCGCTGTAGCCGAAAAGTCTGGCGCCGGTATGACGGCGGTCCAACAGTGTATCCTGTTCAGAGGACGAGCGCCAGTGCTCTTTCACCTCCGGCGCGATGTGCACCGTGTCTATTCTTCTAGTCATCTCTTCTAGTCTTCATCTCGGGATTGAGAGATATTGTCGAATTCATCTTTTGTTCGCGAGTAGTTCTCATTTAGCAAACTCCACTACGCTCTCGCTAATATCGACTCGCGATTTATTCGCAATTCTTATTTTTATTTAATTTTAACGTTATTTAATTTATACGTGTAACTCGTTGCGATAAATCACTCGTCAAATCGGACGAATCAAAGGAGACGACTTAGAACGCAGAATGCTTTGATCAATTTGATGGATAGGAGGAATTTTCACATGTAACTTTGAAAATTTTCCCAATAGATGTAAAAGCAAAAGCAGATTACAAAGTAAGGAAACCACACACGCGCCGTTTGTTTCGTGGATATGGAATAAAAGAAGTTGAACGTTCTAAAGCTCACGACGTTTGACGATAAAAGTTTCTGTGGTGACAAAGGAGCAAGATCAGAACGAGACTTTCTATCTAGCTATTTTCACGTGCCGCGGTAGCGTTTTGTCAACCACGAGAGTATCGAACGAGGGAGTTCTCCGAGATGTTGAAGTTCCGAGTCGCATCCGGCCAACGGAAATGCGACAGCATGGTGAGAATCTTAAGCGTTTGGAACTTAAATCTCAACTCGATATGCGGAGAGACGTCGCCGGTAGAAAGTTAATTTTTCTAGATTTACCTTAAGAAATTCCTTATGAATCCTTCGTTCAATTTTGTCATTGCAATGTCAACAGCGTTGTCGAAAGCTCGACTGATTGATGCGATTTTTTTTTTGTTTTACATAGATTTGATTTTCCACTCTCTAGTTAATTTGTGAGACTTACGCTCGTTTCTACTGTAATGTAGATTAACTTTAATCTCGGTTTAATTTATTGTTTTTCTTTTTCTAATTTTTCCCAGACAATAAAAAGTTCAAATTTGAGATATAAGATGCTTAAAAAAATATTTTTAATATATATCTTTTTGACGTTCTTAAGATATCTTTTGTTTTTTTATTTTGGAAATGCGTGTTGTGCGGAGTTAGAACTAGAAAAAGATAACGAATTAGTTGAACCGAGATTAAAATTAAACTACATTGTTAGAAACAGGCATCAATCTGATAATGTACAAATTTTTTAAAAATTTAAACTGATGATTTTGAAGTGTGTAACTCTTAAAGTTACCACTACAAAGCCATCAATGACTGATTGTAGCTAAAGAAATATAATTTTTTTATTATTATCAGGTTAAGTGGTTAAATCTAAATCTATAAGTTAACTAGGTAATCTGCCACTTTTTTAACCTTTACAGGATGGGAAATCTATAATAGCTGAAATAGTGTCACACATTTTGAGGCAAAGATATAATGAAATAATGAATTATAAGATTATATTATCTAAAATTATAGAGTTAATAAATATACACTCTAAAAGTTAATAAATATACACGAACGCTTTTGCAATTTATGAAAAAATTAATAATCTTAAATGGTACAAATATAGATATATATTTTTTAATATTTAATATAATATTATAATATAAATAGTACAAATATATATATATATATATATATATTTGTATCATTTACGTTACAATATTTATCTCAAATATTCTGTGACATTTTTATATTTCATCGTGTTTTGATCTACCGTGACGGTAATTTGTCGTTCGCCTGTGCGGCCGTTTTCAGACAGCGTCGCGTGTCGACGTCTGAGAAGTTGCCTGCCTTTAGGCGCACTGAAGGCCTGCAGTGGTTCTCAATCACTTTTCTGGTTTGATAACTCGCTCAGCGATTCACGATATAATTAAATCGTATTTACTCGCATTAATTTGTGTTAAGCGATCATAACTCAACTAACTCTTACGTATATCGTCAAGAAACTTTTTTGACCGCACGGTTACCTGTTCCAGGTGAATCCAGGAAGCAAGGCAGCTCAACAAGGGGTGAGAGAGGGTGATCTGATCAGTAATATTAACGAAAGAAGCACTCGAGATTTGACTAACAGCGAGGCGCACGCTCTGTTACGTAATTCTGGGGAGCAGCTGAAACTCGGTCTCAACCAGTAAGTGATCGAAATACTTAGATTTCTTTGTAGCACACCGAAAAAGAATTTTTTTAATCTAAGTAATTTTTTTGTTGAACAGTTTCCAAATAAATATTTCTTTACTGCGAGTAAATATTTACTAAATGTAAACATACATTACTTGTATATATAACTATAATAGTAAGTATATATAACTATAAATAAATGTTTACTTTGAAACAATCATTTAAGGAAAAAATTACTTAACAATTAGATTTAGAAAATTTTTTTTAGTGTAATAAAATAGAATTTTATTCTGTTCTGTTATTGTTAATATAATTCGACCAGAAATTTTATCTTGATTCATCTGTTTTTTTTTTCACAGAGAAAATATCGGCTCGCCGAAAAGGAGGATCTACAGGAGCAGTCTGCAAGAGAACACCACTACCGAAATTCAGAACAGTAGGTATTCTCTCGGCGAAAACCGATCGATCGATCTCTCGCTCGCTTATGAGAGAGAAGTAATCGTAATTCTGTCATTTGTGTGCCGCAGAGATCACCACAAGGACCACAACGACAACGCGCACACGGACGGAGTCGGAGAGGAACGTTGCCAGTAAGTTCTCCGTTTCCTTATGCAAACATCAATTTTCACATTGTTCTGCTAGTGATGGAACACTGGCTCTTAGCATAATTGAAAATTGTATTTACTTGTAAAATGCCTTGTAAAATTAACAAGAGGGAACGTTCGATACAAGCGTACTTCGATAATTAACAATTTACAAACCATATCTGACAGAAACTTTTGACGAATGGCGTCGAATAAGCTCATGATTAATTAAGTTACGTAATATAGCGTCGAATTTACGAGTCTACTTTTCAATTTAGTCGTTGTTTGAGCAATAAGCCGCCGCGTTTGATATCGATTCCCGATTAATCTCAGGTGGTATCAAAGCAAATCGTTACTTTTCAATAAATTTTTAACGCTACACTTTTATACACGCTTATAATTGCAGCGCTAATAATCGAAATAATTGCAGTAACATAATAAATTTATAAAGCAATCGCGCGAGTATCGTAATTGCGTAAATAATCTCTAGAATATTGATGAACCATAAGACAATTAACGCGCATTGATACTTTTATTAATAATTAACAATTTCAGAACTTACGACTCCGATCGTTCTAGTTCCTGCATCGCGTTACGTCGGAGAACCCAGAAATTACCCACGCATGACCGCCGATGTTTGATCGAGCACAATAATCCTGCCAGTTAACTGAGCGTACAATGCGCGTAGTTTAATTATCTCCGATGATCTCAACGGCGAACAATGGCGGCCGGTTCCTTTATATGCGACAACCGCAGAAACCGAAGGTAGCGTCGGTGACGTTTTGGTCGAATTAATTATGCTGGCTTTTCATGCGTTGTTTATCGATGTTTAGCAATTATTATAGGAGAAAAACAGGAATAATTAAAATTTTCTTCCAATCGAACTGACAAGGAATGAATTTTTCTAATTTGATCAATTTTTCACTTTCTAACTGCTTCAGACTATTTTAATCATTTATTTTATATAAAATTTCGAGACATTGTCTCGTTGAAATTATTTAATTCTATCGACAACAGATGAGATCGGATATACATAATAATGTAGACGTTGGAAAAGTAATCAAAATTTTGAAAAATTTCATTGTTTAGTATAAACTACCAATTAAAATATTTTGAATTGAATTTAAAGCAGATTTTTTAATCATGATTCCAATAAAATTAGGTTCGAAGGGGTTAAAAATATTCACGCGTGTAGCTGGAAAAACGGAAAAAGCTGTGGTTGGAATAATTATCTCGGAAATCTTCATATAATCGAGAGATATTGGCTTTCGAAAGCTGGAGACTATTAGAGATTTTTTTTTGTCTCCAATTAATCGCCGATAATTAGCGGCTGATTCGAGTCCTCGGATGACTGGATAATAACGAGCCTAATAAGTCCACAACGTATGACGTGTACGGACCATAAATGTACGCGGATCATCCCACTCCGGTCGTTATTACCCGGCTCTTTTCTCCAAATTGCCCGCTCGTCGTCGCGGTACAGTGCGCATTCAGACAGGGGCATACCCACGCCGTGCGTCGAACATGCGTGCGTGTTGTTCACGCACACACGCAACACACCTGTCCCCGGCCCGCGCGTATATTCTCATGTACACGAGCGTACACCTGCCACCACAACGATATACTGCAATTCCGTGCGGGCGCACCCTTGGCTCTCCGGGAAGAAGACCCTACACCGAGGAGGCGACCCTCTTCTTCTTCTCTTCTTCCTTCGCTGGGCCGACGCCTGCGGACCTACCTTTCTCGTTCAGTATCAGGGAACACCTTGTCGAGCGCGCCGCGCCGAGCAATCAAGTTTCGAAGAGTCGCTTATTTCAAAAAGGAGCGCCGGAATCGCGAAGGTCTTCGGCTTTTTTCGTGATCGAGGATCGGGGATCGACCGCCTGATTTTCTGAAAGAAGTCATTGATGGAAAAGTGAAATGTGAACATTGTTAATTAAACCAAGTATTTGAAGACTCGGCGAATTAAAATTTATAAGAGACAATGCAGAGCGATGAGTTAAGCACGATGTGTACAATATTGCAATTAATACTTGTATATTGACCGATTCAGATGTAAAATCCAAATCCCAAACGTTTCGATTCACACTGATGTGATGAACCATCCTCTTTTTCAGTGGATAAACACTTAGAAAAATTCACAATACATGCAATCGCAAGTATGCTTTGATAAAATTTCTTTAAGACCTTATCCTCTAGTAAAAAAAAGTGCAACTGATCCTTGAGTCCATATCGGAAAAAGATCGCTCGCAATGAATAAATTTCTGTAATGTTAGAGAAAAAGTGTGACAGTCCACGATCATTGACAGAGTTTCCAGAATAAAGGTGTTTAAAAGTGGGCCATAGAATGAGACAAAATGTTATAAATTGGAAAAAGAATTACGGACTCATACAAATATAATTATAATTGTGATAAAAATTTGCAAATGTGAGTAATCACGATTAATTTCCTCTCGACGCGGGGAGATTTGAAAATTTCAGAAAAGAAATAAACGCAAGAAAATAAAGAAAGTGTAAATTATTATTGATAATCACGTGATCGATCCCCTGATCCTCCGCTTTATGATAATGTAATTTCTCGTGTAGTTCTTTTTTTTTTATCAATTTGATCGACAATTTAGTGAATGCTCAAGCAAATATGCGGGGCAATGCCGATGAGCGTTCAATCAGGAAACGCGTACAACAGCGGGAATGCCTGTGAATGATGGCGATCGTCAACAATACGCGTATTATCCGACGGTACAATGGTCGCGAATCGCTGTTTAATGAATCCGTGTGCGATTGCGTAATGAGGAAAGAAAGGGCGCGCTGGGTGAACTCGTCGTGACAAATCATGCGATGAAAGTAGAGGTGACAAATTGAAAAATAAATGACTCTCCATGAAGATGAAGCTTTTCGATTGTATTCGGTGTATCAAGACGCTGAACCAGCGACAGTCGTCGTCGCAGCGACAGCGCAATTGCGAGACGACGGATCCACTGGTGATGACGAAGCGACCACCCACGCGTCGTCAACGTTATCAACCTCATCATCGTCGCTTCGAAGGTCCGCAGAAGGTGACTCCGTCGCGATCCAACGCCCGATTTTTAACCACGATACGTAGCTTCGGCGCTTCATGGAAACGGCGAGGACTCGCGAGGGCTCGGAGCAAGCGTGAGATTCGTACGAAACCAAGGAAGCTTATCAACAACGATGAGATCAAATCGAAGGACGTGGGAATCCCCAAGACGGCTAATGGAATCCACCTGAAAAGGAAGAGGAAGATCCCTGCGAAAAGCGTGGAAACGTCGAACGGCACCGACGATGACACCGGACGATGGGAGGAAGTCAACGTCGCCGGAAGAAGGGCCGGGGAGCTCGAGCGTGAATATTATGAGCACCTGGAAGCGCTGAAGTTCCTCATCGACCCGCCGCCGTGCTTCCGTAACACGGAGACCCGGCAGAACTTCGAGAACAAGTTGAACAGCCTTGATTTCAGACGGATGAACACCGTGGCGATTCCCGCGGGACCCGAAACTAATGGACATCAGCGTCTAGAAGGTCCCAACCGGGGCTTTCAGAGCTCGATCCGTGAAAACGATCTGTTCGATCGCAGATCGTACGCAGACACCCTGGACCGCATCGTCGAGGAACACCTGAAGATCGAGCGCACGATGATGGACTTGTTCGCTTTTAGGGCGCCGATTCTGAAGAGTCGACACGGCGAACCGGTGTCCCCCGGTTCGCGCGAGAACAAAACCGTTCGCTTCAAGGATGAGGTGGAGCGCTCGGGAACGTCTGTCGAACGATGGAAAAAAGGAGGATTGAGACCCGAGGGCGAAGGTCGCGAGGCCGCGGGGATGGAATTCGATAATCTCGTAAGGACCGAGGAAATCTCGGACTTCTCTCGCGACCGGATACCGAGCGAGAGCTCGAACGTGTTCGATGTCGAAACGCGGAACGGTAGGTAGCGATTAACTTCAATTTGGGAAGAGATTTAGAAAAACGTCGGAACATATCGGAAAAAAAAGCGATTTAACGTCGAAACACATCGGAAAAAGCCCGCATTTCTACACTGAGACAAAAAAATGCTGAAAAATTTATTTGTGAGATATAATGTTTATTCCACCGAAATAAATCTTTATTTGAATAAACCGAAATAAAATTTTATTTCTGGCAAATAAATCATTCGTTTAATTTTTTTGCCGTTAATGAGATACATATATCTCGCAAAGTATATATTTCGTTATTACAGTTTCGGGTTTCTATAACCAATAAATATCGAAAAATATATCATTTGTATACTATATTTGCTTGCGAATATTTCGACGTTTTTTCCTCACTGTGCATAAACGTTTATAGCGTTCTCGTAAAATTTTTAAGACAAGTAAATGCTATTAAAGTAATGTAATCGAATATTATAAATCTTGATCGAGATTTTGCATAAACGTGTTATTTGAACTTAATCAGTTGCGAATTTCATGAACCGGTAATAACCAAAGTTTCTCTCCAATCATCAATCCAACTCGCGTTAACATCAACTCGCGACACCGCTCTTCTTGCCACTGAAATTCGAGCGTCATTTATGGTCTGTTCTTGCTGCGACGAACGAGATAGTGCAATTAGCGATGCGTCATTACGTTCGCTTTTCGAGGGTCATCCGATTCTTTAAATAGAGGATGCACGAGAGCCCTAAGTGCTATCGACGCTGCCTGTTAATAAACTCGAGTGTCGCATTCATGAACGCGCTTGAAATTTTATTATGATGAAACTCGATCATAAAGAGAAAGACCTGTGGCCTTCCCCCCCCCCATATATTTTTTAAATGGTAATACATGGCTATTATTATTTAAATGGTATTATTCTCCGTATGAGCTTTCTGACGGTGATAATATCGAGCGATATTTGTCCAAGTTAACGAGGCTATCGACAAAATCACCATAACAATTTCTTCGCGACAGTCTTTTGTACTCTGACATTTATGCGCCGATATTATGGCCGATGGAACGGCTTTCGATTTACGTCCAAGTCCCAGTCGCAGCCTCGATCGAACAATATACCACCGGAAATAGCAATCCCCGTTTGTGAGCGGGCTTGTACGAACGGAAATTGTTCCTTTATCGTAACGCGAACAAGCTACGCATTAGATATTTAGGGCAATTGTTCGCTTACATGAAAAATACTGTACAAGGCTTGCTTTAGACAGTCAAAATCGATAGTAGTAAATAAATTTCACCGCACTATCGGAAATTGAGTTTGGTATAATTTGAAAGTGTTCCAACAAAAAGGAATATATAAAGATATGTTATTATATAAATAAATATTGTTATTTTAATATTTATGCGATTACATAAAAATGACGTAGCTTTTTAGTACAGTTGAAAGTAACGATAAAAAAATCTTTATGAAAAAATCGCGCTTGATTTGACGAAAGGAACAATTCTTTTTATTTTATTCAAAAATTTAGGTAGATATATAGTAGATCTGAAAATAATTTTGTTAAATCATCAAGATAGTTATGTATAAAATTCAAACATAATGATCGTTAGAATGCTGTAAAAAGTTTTGACATTCTAGTTTGAGTGTCCTACGTAATTATTTTGATAGTTTATCAAAATTATTGTATTTTCAGATCTGTGTCTTGAAATTTTTACACTGAAAAGAAATACTAAATTTTAATAAGTCAATTGTTTAAATAGTACCAACTAAACCTTTATAATGATATATTTAGTACAAGAACCATTAATTTGCTTTAATCATCATTTCTTATTATTGAGTAAATATTTATAATGCTCTAAGTAAATAAATATTTACTCGGGCCCAGCGAAACTGTTCTTCCCGTACGAAACCCAACTGCAAGGGCACGTCTTGGAATAGTTCGTCGAATCTACGCGGAGCGTGACGCCGGGTGATCGATTATGCAACGGACAGAGTCGTCGGGCAATAAAATATGTCATGCTGGTCGATTGCGCAAGCGACGAACGACAGTGGCGATCGGATCGAAGGAAATCCCTCGTCGTGAGGGAGTTCACGGTCGGACGGCGAGAAGGACGAAAAGGGCGCAGCGCAGGGCAGTTGTGGAGGACGAAGATGGAAGACGCGAACCGCGGAAACGTGGGCTTGGCACCTTCGGGGCATGACGGCACACCCATTTCGCCCATCGCGTGTATTAACGTGCCCGTGGCCAATGGGCCCGTCGCCCCGGCTGGAAGTTGCTCGCGTGAAACGTTTCCCTCTAATTTGCCCCCAGGGAAATTCGCCTCCGTAATTTTCCTCCGAGAGGACCTCCCTTTCTTGCGATAGCCAGATTTTTACAGAGATTTTACGTAACTTTACGTAGATTGAAAAAAAAAATCACCGTTTGCATCAATTGTCGTGCGGTTGACGCGAAAAAAAGTTTTGCTGAAAATATTTGAAAATTTAGCCGGATACATATCTGATAATAATTTCGGATCATCCAAGTAATTATTAGAATAATTATTGTTAATAATTTTTATTAATTATATATATTTAATTATTATTAACAAATTATTGTAATAATAATTATTAATTAAAATGCTTAAGCGTTGATTTTCGACGTTTTTGCAAAAAGTTTTAATATTCTAGCAACCAGTTTGGGCATCCTACATAATTATTTTGACGATGCAAACAAAATTTTCAGGTAGAGATAAAAATGTTGCAAATGATAAAAAAAAAAGTCAGAAACTCTGTATTAAAAACTCAGCAAAACGGTTCTTTTTCTTGATCTGTGAATGTTTTTGTGATCGCGAGTAAAAACTTCCAGAGATTAAGCAGAAAACTTTTTTTTACCGAATTTTTTATTCATAATTTTCTAATTTTTTTCAGTCACATTCATCTCTATTTTCAGATCTGTGTCTAGCTAAACTTTTTAATGTTTCAGAACCACTCTTTCTGTGAGATGGAATGAGGGAAAACATTTGTTTGCCTTTTCAAAAAGTCGCAGGATTATGCGATAGTACTGCGTGGTCGCAGTTAAGTCCCGACTTTTATCCCTTCCCATCGCGTTCGTGTCTTGTCCGTGACAGTCCAAATCCCCGCTGCGTAAGCTTCTTCGATCCCATTATGCAATTAATGTGATATATATATATATATATATTTTATTGCGCGGCGACTCGTTGCGTAACTGCAAGGTTGCAACATCGGCGAGATTGGACGTGCATGGGTGGGTATTTGCGTACAGGATTTTTACAGCTTTTATCGTCGAGACTTCAAACCCGGTCCTTATTTTAGTTACGTGCGTTGACACACCGAGATATGGCGGGGGCGTTTGCTTGAAAGAAAAAGAAAAAAAATGTTTCGTCACTTCCGGATCTCGTGCGACTACCGCGTACCCGCGTGTGTCCGTTCGCGACTGCCGTGACGCAATGAAAAGTGCGGAGAATAGATGGGTGCGCTCGCGCGACAGAGTCACTCCGCCGGCATTGTACGCTCGGAAGGAAGTCCAACTCGGAAGCGGCGCTATTCATGAATTCAGAGGGGGAGGGGGAGGGATTCGTGTGCGTGCGTACGTGCTCATGTATCCCCCTACGAGCGTCAATGCGTGCTATAGTTTCGCGTCTGTGTGCGGGCACGTTACACATCACCGTTCCATAAATATCCCGGGTTTGTGTGCTTTCCAAAAATAAAAGGGGGGAAAAAAAAAGAGGAAGGTTGACACGTTTCTCTCCGCAGAATTTTTTCGGAAAATTGTCAAGTGCTTATACGGCGCTCCACGTTAACGCATCTAAGTACCGGAGCGAGTCAAGCTTCGAGCGGAACACCGGAAGATCGACAAGTTGGTACTTTCCAGCAAGAGATACAGTATAGGTCTGTTTTCCATCTGATCTGATTAATTTAATATTAGTTAATTAATTACTGGAAATTCAATCTGGTTCATTTAATACTGGTCAATTAATTACTGGAAGGGAGTAATTAATTACTTATTTAAAGTACTGAAAAGTTTACTGTATAACAGTTTTTAATATTAAAAATAGCTTTTAATATTTAAAATAATAGTAATTAATTAGTCTTTGGCCGGTACTACAGTTTTGTAAGTGTTGTTTCTGTGGTTAAACTACAATACATATAATATTTGGAACTTATATAGTGAGATATAATATGTTTGATATTCGACAAAAGCGAGAAAGATAATTTTGATACAATCTAGGGCACGCTGAAAAAGAATTTCTAAATTTTAATACGTATTTCTTTGAATAGTACTAATTGTAAATAAACATTTACTTACAGTAAATAAATATTTATTTAATAAAAAAGATGATAGTTTGATTTTTGTATTAAATAAATATTTATGTAGAAATTATTCAAACAAATATTTATTAAAATTTGTCTTCAGTGTAACAATAAAAACTTTCAGGTTTGGAAAACACACAGACCGGAAAACTGGAAAACTGGTAAAACCGGGAAAAGTCAGGAGAAAATGTAAACAAGTTTGGAATTTTTTAATTTGCTCACAATTTCCTTAAACTACTCCTATTCCAGATAATTGTAAGTTTTTAATATCATATCTGACATTTGTAGTGAAATACGTTCAAAACTCGCACTCTTTGAACAATTTTAATAAAACAATTAAAATTTATATTTTATTCAGAGTATCTCTATTCGATCGCCCTTTTTCGTAACTGCGTTTTTTTTCCAATACTAATTTATTTTTTGTTGGCTCGAATTTGCATCCAAAATTTTAGTACGCTCCTCTAATCTGTTTTGCGTTGTCTTTAATAATATAGCTTAGCTTTCCTACAATTCTTGGCTTTCAATGTATTAAAATTTACATATTTTATATTGGAAAATTTTCCATTTCCATCCGGAAAAAAAAAACCTGGAAAAGTTAAGGACTTTTAATATTTATTTTCTGTGGCAATCTTGAAAATAGACCTAGTGATCGTTTCATCTTCGTCAAACAAGAATGTAATGATCCACTGTGTTACACTATGTCATCCATGTCCCTTGCTGGAAAGCTCCCCATATCTCTCGGAAGATAGAGCCTGAAAGTTTTGGGTCGCTCCGTACGACCGACACACAGACAGACGACCGTGGACTTCCGACACCGACGACGGTGTATTGAAGTTCCCATTCGTTCAGTCGCGTAATCATCCATCGTGTGTGAGTGATACAAATTCACCTGGATCGACGTGGATACGTGCACGAAACACGTGACTCCATACGGGTGGGGACACGAGCGCGTCTCGTGGGTGGTTTCGTTGGTTCTACTCGTATGGCTCAGTGCATAATCGCGATTCACGTATCCTACAGGTCGCGGTTCTGCCGCTGAATCGCGGCCAGTTAACATGGGCGTCGTCGTCGTCGTCGTCGTCGTCGTCGTCGTTGGAATTCTCGCCTAAATTTAACGCACTCGTTCGTGCCTCGGCAACGTACGACGCTTCACGTTTGTCGTTGTCATACTTCGTGCGTGCACTCTGCAAAGTCGCGGATGTTCATCGATTAACCGGCACCGTTGCGAAAGGCACAAACCGACTCGCGCCTGGAAAATCTGTCATAAAAATGTGACGTGTGAAGGAATTCATCGGTTGAGACTGTACGGCGTAAATCGTAAAACAGTTTTGCTGAAATGTGCTTAATTAAAAAATTTTTTTCATCTAATTTCATTTATTTATATATTAAGGCACTTTTAATCGCTCTTTTGCTATCGCGAGTTTTTAATAAATGAAACGTTTCTGAGAGATGATACGTGCTGTCTATTGCAACATCGAACCGTTTCTTTCAGATGACACAAAAGTCGAGCAGAGCTACGCCAATCAGAACGGTACTCTGAAGAGCTGCCCGAGCGAGCAACGAAGCGACGCTAAGAAAGGTAAGGACGCTTTGTTATCGGAGATTATATATTTAGGAATGTTGGGCTGGACCACGCTTTCTGCATGAAATACTGTACGATATCTTCTTCCTTCTTTTCTTCATCAAGCATCATCTTGCGATTGCGATTGTCTGGAACGATCTTTCTAAGAGCCTGCCGAATTGTCTCGCGTAAAAGGAAGCTGGAATATGAGTAAATATCCCGTAGGTAAAGTATGCGGTGTATTAAAAATTGGGACAGTATGTTTCCTTGAGAATTCCGGTACGGAAATATTTCGGGGATATTGAGATGCATGCTGGAATTGTTCAAGAATTGAGAACTGTATTTAAACTGAACAACAATCATCGAAATAAATTTAGTTGACTAAGAAATTAAAAGAAAAAGAAAAAAACTCCATTTTAATTTTATCTTTTCTTTAAGTCGGAATGGAACATTTCGTGTCCAATAGAAATTCGTGGGAAAAATTGAAGCTGTAACTTTCTGCAAAATGCAGTACGGTAACATCTTTCCGTCGTAATACTCTTAGAAACTTTCAAATCCCGTTGCTACTTTCCGGACGATGCGGGAAAATCGTAACGAGCAGTCGTCTTTAAACGTGAAAATAAGGGCGCGTCAAACGCACGTACGTGGGCGTGTAAGAAAAATCCCGAGTCGGGAAACTCGTGGCGGATATTAGATAAAAGAAAACGAAGAGAAACAGAAAGCGGAGAAGGTCGGAAAAGTTACCGTAAAACGACTGTGACGCGATATTTCCGACGAGAATTCTACGAGAGAGGACAAAGGAGAAGGCAA